TGTCGTTTCAGTACAAGTACCTTTACCTCCAAAAAGAAATGCCATCCTGGTCCATGGTCCATTTAAATCTATAATTTTACATTTTATTGAAAACTATTATACTCACATTTTTCCATTGTTTTTTTTTCTTCTTACAGCAGAACAATACACTTTTTACAGTGGCTGTGATTAAAGCAGAATCTTCTTCATAGTTGCTATTTTTTTTTTTGCCCCCCAAATGGAGCTTTTGAGCAGATTTATATTTGTAGATTTCAAATTGAAATGTGCTTTCTTCCCTAATTAGCAATGGAATTTCCATCTTGCACATTGGTAAAATGGGCTGATTATGTCTCTTTTCATTGCTGACAAGCAGATGGCTTATGTTACAAAGGATTTTGAAAGTTTGCAATTGCAGTAAAAGGGACACTGAAGCTGGGACTCTGTTGCACATTCTCCTCTTGATCAGATCAATGAAAGGCAATTCTTAAGAAACGGAGAGAAAGATTTGAGGAAACACCTTGTAGACACAAAAAAAATTTCCCTGTGCACAGCTATGGTAACAGAATATATTCTTTTATCATGTAAATCAAATTGTTGTTTCTGATTTCTGTGCCAGCTGTTGAGCTTAGTCCTTTTGGTTTTGGGGCTGAATATGATAAAATTAACAAAAAAAAGTTTTTCAATAGATATTTGTCTCTCCGGGAGATACATCCACAGATTAACCCATTCAGGACCAAGTGTGATTCAATAATAAAATTTTTTTTGCTGTTTTTAACCCCTTAACGACAACTTCTGGAGTAAAAGGGAATCATGACGGAATATTTCCGTCATGTGTCCTTAAGGGGTTAAACTGGGCCCCAGAGCTAGCATATGAACTTATATAAAAAAAAAAAAACAGCAACTTTGTCTACAGAGTGCATTTCAGGTATTGTTCATCAATATTTAATATTGATTACATGTAAGAAAAATGTATGATGTTCCTTGTCAAGCAATAATTTATATATGTTCCAAAAACTGCATTGAAGTACAATTATTGTGCTAATCGTTACAGTAGATAACCACAAATAGCTAAACAGTTGGCAAATGCCCTGCTTATGGAGGATATTAGTAAAGAATCTGCAGGCGTTTTTGGGAATGCAATCATTTTAGGACTGCATGTGGCCAGTTTCCCGACTTTGATGCTTGTTTGATGTAGTACAGTGTAAGTTGATATTGTAGCCTTCACTCAAGCAGACTTTGAGCTTTCACTTCCCACATCCAATCAATCTCCAAAACAAAATCTTGTTTATTAAACTAAACACTTTGCTCATGTTATTATATGCCAATTGGATTTCCACAACCAGTTCCTTTTGACTTTATACAAGCCCAGATTACCCTTTAACAGCTCTAGAATGAATGTTACTGCCAGGTGCATCTTGATGAACACTACTCCACTCACCCCTTACTCAGTACTAACAAACCTCGATCTAGGATTCAATTTAAAGGGACACTCCAGTGCCAGGAAAAGTTTTCCTGGCACTGCAGGTGCCCTCTCCCTCCCAACCCCCATCCCATGTTTCTGAAAGGGTGAAAAAAAACCTTTAGTTACTTGCCTGAGAGCACCACCGATGTCCCTCGGCGGTTGTTTAGGTTCCGCCCACACTCCTCCCCCCACCGACGTGGGAGACAGATTGTGCATGTGCGGCTGCCGGTGGGATAAGACAATGCGCATGCGCAGCAATGCCACGCACACGCCTTGGACCTCCCCACAGGAAAGCATTGGAAATGCTTTCCTATGGGGATTTTAGCGACGCTATAGCACAGAAAACCTGTGCTATAGACCAGGAAGTGCCCTCTAGTGGCTGTCTAGTAGACAGCCACTAGAGTTAACCCTGCAATGTAAATATTGCAGTTTATGAAAACTGCAATATTTGCAGTTGCAGGGTTAAGTGTAGTGGGAGTTGGCACCCAGACCACGCCAATGGGCAGAAGTGGTCTGGGTGCCTAGTGTCCCTTTAAGCTTCAACAAAGCTTTCAATTCCACACCCTACGTAGCTTCATTAACGGGTAGGTTTACCTCACCCTCCCATTATGGAATTATCTTTTGAACTGAATTAGACTTAATATCACTGCAAAGGAACTAAAGGAAAATTATTTGGCTATGGTATGGTCATACCACATACAAAAATGAATTCTTAGATCTTACTTATGTACATGTGGTCAGTCTTACTGCAGACAGACCTCCCAAAGTAGGGTGAGCCATTGGGGACTAATCATATCCTATACACCCTTCCTCAGTTCCCATCACCACGAGTGGTATTTCATTCTAAACTAATAGCCACACTGACTGCAGTCACTTTGTACACAGCCCAGGTTTGTTATAAAGGAACACTATACCGTTCTAAATACAAAACTGTATTCCTAATTCTATAATGCCTCGCATAAAGTTATTGTCCACTCCTGAGGGAAGAAAGTGTTTAAATGTTTGGCTCCATCTCCACTGATGTTGGCAATGGTGGAACCTAATGTGCATACACGCCAAGCACATTAGGCCTTTCCTATAAATAAGCATTTTTCAATGCTTTTCTATGGGGTTTTGAGGATGCAGGTCATAGTCATGCAATGAAGGAGGCCATCTAGCATCATATCACTGAGTTAAACTCCGTGAAAAGTCAGGAAGCACCTTTAGTGGCTGTCTGGAGAACAACCATTAGAGGCAGTATTAACCCTTCAATGTAAACACTGCAGTTTCTCTGCTAAGTGGGAAAGGACATTGCACCCAGGCCACTTCAATGAGAAAGCATTGAGTGCCTTTAAGGAACAGAGGTGTTTTACTATCAGCTTGCACAGTCCATGACTCTGCTCTCCCCATGGAAGAAAGCCTTCTCTCTATTGTGTGTGCTCAGACCATTTTGTTAGCATGCATTCAATGTAAGGGTTATTCACCAATGGGAGAATAAAAAGTGAATTTAAAATAAAGACCAAAGTAGTTGAATTTGAAGTATCACTGACCAAGCATTTTTCCAGTTTGGCTATGAAGATCTAAAATGTGAAATTTACTATGAATTCTTACATTAATGACTAACCTTATCAGGGAGTAGCTACAAATGACAGCTTAAGTAGCCCACATTCCCATTCACACTATCTTGACTCTTTCAGTGCCAAAATAGCACTTTCAATCTTGCATTCTCAAGTGGATAATTACTAAAACAATATAAAATACATACCTTTTATACAATGAATGCAAGTATATCAATGTTATACATCTCAACAGCAATGTGTTCGGAGTTAGAATTAACCATTTACATGTGTGTTAAACTTGTTTGGGCCAGGCCATTTTCATCTACTGCAGTTACCAAATTTTAGGTTCAAGGCACTCTTAATATTTCACTATTTTTCCAATGCACTCCAAGTCAAAAATTTCTAGGTATTATACATATACTGGACCACTGTTCAGCAGAAATGTTTCCCTGTCAAGGACAGATCCAGAACCTAATCTCAGAAGGGGCACTGGTAGATCTCAATAGACAAGCCAAACAACCACTACAGTACTCTGTAGTGGTTATGGTGCCAGGAGTGCCATTGTGCCCTCCCAGGGTAAGTAGTTAAACTGTTTTAAGAACAGTTTGAGAACTTACATGGGTCTGCTGGGAGGTGCACTAGAGTGTGTAGAATGAGGTGTGCAAGGGGAACAGAGTGTGTGGGGGAGAAGTGTTATTTTGGGTATGTGGGGTGGAGAGGAAATAAACAAAAAATTAATATCCTTCTTTCCTTTGCCTGGGGCAGAGGGGTGAAACAGTAGAAGGCCTGGTGGTCCAAGGGGTGAGTGAGCTATAGCAACTCCTGATTCTAGAGTTCACTCTCGCGAGATTGAGTTTCCATGGCATGTGACATTGCTTCAGGCTTGTGAGTGAACCTGGCAGAGCTGCAGGTTAGAGCTCCCCTGGGTACTCCCTCTCCCTGTGAGAATAAAGAAGCATGATTTTATCTGTACCATGATCATAGCATCGGGGAAATCTTTCATGGCACCCCAGGGTGCTGTGGTACATTGTTTGTGAAGACACCAGCCTACTAGATAAAAGTGTTAGAATTAAATATTTCTACCTAAATTGAGTGTAAAGTAAAATGTGGATTGTACCGGGCAGTCACAGCCAGCTATGCTGTAACTTCTGAAAAAAAACGCAGACTGAAATAATTTCTACACCACTGCATTGTCAATGGAAACAAGACGTGTGCCTACAAGTCTCCCTTCAAATTTTTGGACAACACAAGTCAAGACTATTCCTTACGTATAGCAATTCTGTTGAAAAAAGTGATCTTAACCAATTCATGCCATTAGGATATTCCAACTGTCCACCACATCATAATGTCGGCATGGGATGTCCTAGTATTGTTTGACCAGGGTTAAATACCAGCTTATACAAGGGAGACCCAGGTTAACTGGGGCCTTATTCCCAGACTGACTAATGGTACACATGCATCGCTCAATATATGCAGCCATTTAAAGGGATACTTTAGTGCCAGGAATACAAAGCTGTATTCCTGGCAGTACCGCTGCCAATGCCTCCCCATCTCCAGTAAATAAAGGCCTAAAACCAATCTACTTTTCCATGGCCCTTGGTGCTGGGCCAACGCTCTGCCCCCTCCTCCGTCACACGCACATTAAAGCTCCACATATGAAAACAAACAAATCTGACGCCTAGGTCCTCATGCAGAGTGCATGGGAAACATTTAGAGGCCAGGTTGGATGGATTTTCTACTGAATTACACTCAAAAACACTTAACTTCATGCTTTCAGCCAGAGTCATCAAAATTGGACAATATACTAACACGGATATGAAAGTTAGGTGTTCTGAATCTGAAAGGTCGGAGAACACAGGGTTTTGTCAAAACTGGTTGTTAGCAGCTTGACTTAAACCAAAAAGTAGAGTCTAAAAACTCTAGGTACCAATTGCTCCAATCTGTCGTACTTTCGTTGCTTAGAGTCTTTAGAGGTGGTGGTGGAACTGCTTATTTACAAAATACAGGACTTGAACCAGGAATAGGAAAGGATAGTAAGTGGTTTATTTAGAAAAACAAAATGTTCATTACAGATGAAATGGTAAACAAGAACAAAGTATACAACCAACATTTACAATATTTTTACATAATCATTAACAATTTAAAAGTTAACAATATCAAGTTATAACTTCCAGCATAGGAACACTTTCATATATTTACATTTACAGGATAAATCAGGCAATGTTCATACTACTTCAAACCTACTCCGTAAACACCTGCATGTATCAATATACAGGAACCCATTGCCTTTCGGTGTTACACAATCAAAGGGTTGTCAGATATTTGTTAAAAAGGCTGTGCATCATCACAGAGAGCTGAACACTGCCCCATAAGAATCTGTGGTAATGACAAGACTTTTTACTGGACTATACACCTGTATTACTTGCTCACCATGTAAGTTCTGCTCTAAAAAAACAAAATAAATTAACAAAAATGTAGATATGCTTGTTGAGAAAGTCACGGTCAGGAGTGCAATGAGAACATAAGAGTCTAGACTACTTGTCAGCAATAGAAACAAGTTTCAAACGGCAGTAGTTTGCCTGTTTTGACATGCATGAGGTATTTTGGGGTGGACAAAGGAATACCCCCACTGCAACTTCCATAATGCTGTGTCATTCTAAAGGCTGGTAAAGCATGACAGCTGCAGTTTTAAAATGTCTAGTGATCTACCTTTTGTCTTAGCCCCGCTTTACAAGAACCATTTAAAGTTTGAAACATAGCAAGATACCAAGTATGTCCACTAGAGGGCACTGCTACTCTTCAGTTTCAAAAAACCAGTCACAGAAAATAAAGATACAGATTAGCAGATACTGATGGGTCAATCTGACCGATTTAATATTAAGTGAACATGTTATCTCAAAATGTTGTGGGTAGATGTAGTCTATACAATGGGCAGGGTGTCCTAGAATCCAGAGAAAATTTGTGTGCTAGAATTAAGCTACATTATTTAGGGGTGAGTGTCCAAGAAAACAAAGGATGTTGGGGAATAAGGCATGGAGGACGCTACACACCCAGATAGCATGTAAGCAGAACCGGGTTTCTGAACACATGCTGCAGAAATCCTGATGTACCATCTCATGCAATGCATGTGTTCTAATATTCCTAGCTTTAGTTAGATACAGCTCTGCTGTTCCAAGACGAAGTGCTTACTTAACGTAGCTGCCTATTAGTTACCAGCACCAATATTATACAGGCCAGCAATACCCAAGCTCAGGCACGCCAGCTGATACGGGCTATATTGACCATGATCACAGCGGTGAGACAAAGATTAGGCATGGCAGGTAAATACTGGCCTCTAATATGTGTAATGGACATTCTGTACAGAGAATATAGGAAAATTACATGCACAAATTCTGAAAAGTAGTATGAGTTCAGTGAATAAATTTAAAAATTATATGTTAGCTTAAATGTTCGGTGTCATTTGTTTCGTTCAAGCATACATCCAGATCAAAGTCATCTTCCACTGCTTCAACTTTCCTGACTTTGGTTGGTGTTCCTGTAAACTAAAGAGATACATCCTCTGTTAGATCAGCCTGTGAGCAATTACAGCACACTGCAAACATGACTTTCGACTTAGATACATTTCCTGAGCCTTTGACATAGAAGACTAGACATACAGTTAAGTGTTTTGCAGATCAATACCAAATTGGCAGGCTCCAAAATGCAAAGTCTTTCCTCTACATGTCTGCATTGAACAGTGCTAGAAGCATTTTGTGAGCCATTCCAAACATTTCCAACACTTCACAATGATGTCCCTCTAATTGTAAACTGCCAAATTAGTGCATTAGTTTTATTTTATGATCTGTTTGAAGTATTTTCCAGCAAGCAAGAAGAGCAAACTATTTAGGACAAGGTCTGAAAATATAAAATAGATTAATAGAGTTAATCCTACTAACAAGACAGCCGTCCACTGTTCTTCCAGTCATGTAAAAACCTCAGAACCATGTTGGGGGAGGAGAGGCTGATTAAACTAGACCCAATCTGACAAGCAGCTAAATATCCTTTGAATTTTGCACTAACAAGTTAATTTGCCCCTCCCAGGCACACAGTCTACTACTGTGTGCAGGTGAAAGGCCTGATACATGATAGGACCACCTCTACAGAATGCTTTGAACTCTGCATAAAATGATGAAATCAGTTGAGTTCTATAACCTTATGTTTCGGAGCATAGCCTTTCAAATCCTCCATCTGGGGAGCTATTGGGCCCCTGGTAGCATCCAGTGTGCCTCAGTCAGCAAGATTGCCAAGTCTGTCCCTTGCAAGGGTTTTGAACAGTAATATGGAGAAGCATTTTTCAATCTTTTAGAATACTTGTCATAACAAAGGAATTACACCCCACTTGCATACTGCAACTAGATCAGGAAAAAAGTACTTCCACTAAGAATGCTATGGTTTTACATACGAGTTCTGTTCCTTAGCAGGTCTTAAAATTGGGTCAATACAACCTCAGATGAAAACATTACATATTAGTGTCATGATTCAACAAAAAGACAAAATGGAGAAGCTGTGTGAAAAACCAAGTACACCGTATGATACAACAACATGTAGAATCACATTTAGCAGCAATAACGTAATAGTACAATAGAAAACATTGTTTCAAAACATCAGGAACATTGTTTTGATAGAATTTGTGACCACTTTAAGTTTCTTCAGTTTGCAGGCATTTATTTATGCAGTTTTAAGGTTCCACCACAGCATGTCAGGTTGAGGCCTGTACTTTGACTGGGCCATTGCAACACCATAAATCCTCTTTCAGCCATTTTGTTGTAGATTTGCTGGTGTTCTTGAGCCAGTTGCATGATAAAATTTTGGCCAAATTTTAGCTGTCTGACAGATGGCCTCACATTTGACTAGAATACACAGAGTGGGGAACCTTCAGCCCTCCAGATGTGGACTACATCGTCCTTGATTCTTTGCTAGCATTATGGGAGATGTAGTCCAAAACAACTGGAGGGCCAAAGGTTCCCCACCCCTGCTATAATGCTATGCTATACAGGAGTCTTGTCAAGTCAATATATGCAAGGTTCCCAGGTCCTGTGGCTACAAAACAAGCCCAAAACATCACATCAGCACAAAGTGGCACTGCATTATAGCCAAATGTCTCCACTTTGGTCTCATCTGCCCAAAAGGCACTGTTCCAGAAGCTTTGTTCAGATGCAACTTTGCAGACATAAGCCGTGCTTCCATGTTCCTTTTAGAGAGAATAAGCTTTCTCCAAGCAATCCTTCCAAACAAACCATACTTCTTCAGTCTTTAAAATTGTACTGTCATGAACGTAAACAATTAACATACCAAGGTCTACAGATTCTGAGATGAAACTTTGTATTTTGCAATTTCTCTGAGCATTTCATGGTCTGACATTGGAGTGAATTTGCTGGGAAGTACATTACTGGAACAATTGACAACCGTCTTGAAGGTTTTTTTTAACTTTAGAACAATCTCAATGTAGAAGGACTGACTTTAAATTGTATGGAAATGGCCTAACCCTGTCCAGTTTGATCGGCAGCAATAACTGCTGCTCTAAGACCATTGATGTCTTTCATCATCGGCATTGTGTCAACACACCTGAATGCTCCAGACCGTAAACATATAAAACATCTTATAGAGGTGGTTACACTTTCTGATGGTCAAGGTCATTTGATTAGCAGCACATGTCTGCTACTTGGCCTCTTCATTTCCATGGAAGCAATAAGGGTATAGTGCCAAACATGGCTTCTCCATTTTAACTTTAGTTTGTTAAATCATGACACTAATGGCATGTGTTCATCTTGTATTTACCCAATTTTAAGATCTGCTAAGGAACAGATTATTGACAGTATGCACCGATATGTAAAACCATAGAAATTAAATAGGGTGTACTTTAACCATGACTGTACACATTAAACCACTTTAATACAAGCAGCAATATCTACAGAAAAACTGAATCAAGACTCAAAACTGACTTCTAAAAAGGTCTTTGCTCTAAAATGTTTGTTTCATATATACAAAGGATAAATATTTACACACAGTTATGCTGCATATTACACAGCTGTACTAGCACAAGATACATGCAAATTATGAACTTACAAGGCTCTCGTCTGATCCAGTATCTGAACAACAAGTTACCATATCTTCATTGCTGTAAGTTAAACAAAAACAAGTTAAGATATGAATTATAAATGTATGACTACCAAGACATGCAACAAAACCTGTTTGACCATTGCTTGTTTAACCAAAATTACGGTTACTATACTGTAAAACTACTGTCAGTCTTAATCTTGGCCAATATAATTAAGGTCAGCTTACTATAGATTGCCCAACTATTCCAGATGCCATAAAAATGCTTTTCTGAAAACAATGTTCATGTAAAGTCAAACTGCCTTTTGCTTTCTGAATGAACCATACACCAAATCGTCAGGTAGCAGTGTCTGATTGACAGAGGAAGAGGCTTATTAAAAAAACTCATTCTGAGATTATGGCTGAGGGAGTTAAATATACATCTGAAGTAATGTCAAGAGAGGCAACCACTTGCCAAGTGTCCTTTTTACTCTGACCTCTGCATCTAGTAATAAAAAAAAAAAAAAAAAAAACAGCCAGAACAGATGTCAGGTTCACAATGGTTTACTTTATAAGCATTAATCAGAAGCTTTGTAAATGCTTTAATGAACCCAGCATGTTATTATGGCCTCTCTTCCAAACAGACAGGCACATCTTGGATGTCAGTTTGCAGAGACAGAAAACTTAAAAGGAGATTTTGGAATACACTTAATTTGAAGAGTTATAAAACCAGAGCAATATTCTCGTAGTCTACCATAGATGCGTAAATCTATGCCACCCTTGAGTGATCTACTATTGGCTGTGTGGCAGGCCCCAGTGAGAAACCATGTTAGCATGAAGACATCGGACAAGTTGTATAAAATATTGTCAGTGACATTAGAATTGCCAAACATCTATAAACAATTAAAAAAGGCTGGTGCTAGTTAGGATGACACTAGAAATAAATATAACTTACAATGGCTGTAGTTCGCTGCCTTCCTCTGTAGGTGGATCCCATGCATGAAGAGCAATCTTCCACAGTTTAATTTGCTGGTCCCAAGATCGACGACTGTACTTTTTAAACTTATTGGGTGTTCTTGGGTGAACACCTGGTTGTCGTACATGCCTGAAAGATCAAGTCAGTAAAAGTTTTTCAAAAAGCTTTGAGAGCAAACAAATCTTATGAATTGTATTTGTAAATTTGTATCAACACATCTATATTTTAACCTCTTAACCCCTTAAGGACATATGACGTGTGACTTGTCAGGATTCCCTTTTATTTCAAGTCTGAGGACACATGACGGAAATATTCCATCATAATTCCCTTTTCCCCCCAGGAGTTGTCCTTAAGGAGTTAATCCCGCATAACAAGTTTTTGGAAACCCCTAGTGGCAGTCTTTCTGACCTCAACTAGGGGCATTTACAATTTAAAAAAAAAAAAAAACGGTCTGGAAAATCAAATGTTGCCGATAGCCGTATTTGAAGGACTGCAGTAGGCATGTTGATGTATTCAAAGGCACAGCAGGAATTCCAGAACTGGAAACAAGGAGTGTGATTTAATTTAACTTTTTTTAAAAACACAATGGGGGTGGATAAAAGGTAACCTAGAGTCATAATTGTTATTTTGGGGGCTTTAAGTTCCCTTTAAGAATTATGTGCTAGTAGTAGACTTAATAAACCTTTAAGAATCTCAGTAACAGGATAATCCTTACGCAATTAACACCATACCTTGGCACTTCTTTTAAATATCTGTCGTAAGCTAGTGTGTTCTTTCCATAGTTGATCTGCTTCTGTCTTCTTGTTAGAACAGAAGCATCTGTTTCCAGTTCTCCAGGAGTGGATGAATCCTTTGAATCAGAACTGAAAGAAAGCAAAGGATAGTTAAGCCCACATGCAAAGAACCCAAATTGCACTCCATGAACAGACTGAATTGGTGGATTAATATTACAGAGATTCTTTCCAATAAACACTCATGAATCTGAGTTATGCCATGAAGATATGTTCAAGCGAGCTAGCCGCACTGTTGTGTATAAAATTGAAGCTTTACCAACTGCAAGTTGGAGTGTCCTAAATATGCATACATTTAAAGAAACACTAAGCACCAAAACAATTTAAGCTTGATGAAGCAGTTTTTGCTGTACAGATCATGCCACTGAAATCTCACTGCTCAATTCTCTGCCATTTAGAAGTTAACAGTTAAAAGCCACCCCTGCAAAGAAATTTAATTAAGCTTCTTTTTATGGTGTTTAATTTATAATTCTGTTTCTCCAACTGTTAATGGAATTCAGTAGTCTTTTGCGTGATAGCTGAACAGAACATAAGGCAAGAATTTCTGAAGCAATATTTGATTGAAAATCAAACTTTTCAATATTTGTTGAGTCACAGACAGGAAAGATGTCGTTCATGTAGCAAGAAAGCCATATTTAACTCCAAAATGGCAGAGAATTGAGCAGAGACTGCAGATGCATTTTAGCTGAAGTTGTTTTGGTGAGTCCATATAAATATTACAGACATACTTAAGTCTAAAAACACATTTTGCGAACCAAAACACTACAGAAGTACTCTGAAAAAACTGAAATGGCATGTCCTCAAGTCAAATCAGTTTTAGCTTGCCTATAACCTTTACATACATTCCATTTGCCCATCAGACTAGTCTTACCCAAAAGGGCAGCCGAGGGAAAAAAATAAATAAAATATTAGGCAGGTCCCATGTTTACACAATGTAGACAGCACATTCTTCTATTTGCGGATAACAGTAACTGTACATTTAGTTATATACCTAAAAATCTGAATGTTTGTGACATGTTGCCACTTACCTTTCAGAAGACAATCTTCTTTCCCTTGTTGCAAAGTCACTAATCAGAAGCCTTCTCTTGTACCTAAAAATGTGTTAAAAACAAATAAACCTTTAAATTCTGATAACTATGGCAAACTCAAATTGTTCATGTTGCACCAAAAGAAAATAATTCTAAACAGAATGTGCAATAAAGAGGGCTTAAACATTAGATCTCTGCAGAAATTAGGAAGGCTGTGCAATATCATGTAGGATGGTGTGACTACAGCTGAATAAACCAAGTGATTTAACTCCTAAAATGCAGAAAGTTGAGCAGCGAGACACTGAGGAATTCAGCTATTTTGGTTTAAATACCCACCTTACTTTGCTTGAAACACCCTGGAAGTCTGTGGTACAAGGTCCTGGAGTAGCTGGAGCACCTGAAGTTGGGTGATTCTAAGTCCTGGAGAGATACTCTGGGGCTTGAGGACTGAGGCCTACCCAGGAGGGGAGTGTGAGCGATGGCTGCTGCCTCGCTTTCCACCCTGGCTAATACAAAACTACAACATACCAGAAGCCCACTTGGCCCTGATCACCCGACCGACAGGTTAGACTAGTCCCCACCAGGCAAGCTATCACCCTTGCATCAGATCTGGGAAGCCCAGCACCGAACGTAAATGGCTCCCACACGGCCTCAGTAAAATGGCTGAAGGCGGCACAGCAATGCCACTGGCCAAAACGGATGAACCCTCTGTGGCGCGCTAAAGCAGTGCATGTGAAACAGCCCGAGCTGACACCGTGGGGATCCTCAGATGCTCGACCTCCTCGGCAAACACCCCTGGAATAAGCTCGAGACAGGGAAGAACCACAGCAGCCTGCATCTATTATACTTAGCCGCACTGCAGCAGCAATCCATCGACGCATGTCCAGTGCGTGCCCCAACTGAGTAAGCCTTACCAACATTTATTAAACCAACTACAGCGACCAACACTGGAAGAACGCTCAGGGACGTTATCCCCATGCACCAATTCCACTATACCGCACCTTGACACTGGCTCGGAAAGTATGGCGCCCATACCCATTCACGGTCTGCAAACACTGTGCCCTATGGCGAGACTTTGGGACTCAGCAGGCCTCTTGGATGCCCTACAGGAACTCCCCAAGCGTAGGAAGAGGCTGCTTTTTCTTTCCACATCTTCCACATAGCCAGAGGTGACCCCAGCTTCCCACGACATAACACTAAGCCTCGTCAGATGTTACTTATGCTACATTTACTATAAGCGTGCTTCTCCTCTGTTAAAAGTACATATTCATTTTAATTTCCTGCCTACTGCTGACAGTCCATGCTACAATATACCTGGTGGTAATGTAAATTTACTTTAACAAGCTTGTGACCTCACAATTTAACAAAAATGTCAGTACATAAATCTAAAACCATACCTTGTAAGTCATAATGAGTAACTGACATAAGATTAACTCTTGATGAAACCACAAGAATTTAAAATAGTGCTGTGAATCAGACATGTGATGCTCTTTACTGGAGGATGTTATGTTGATACCTATTACAATGTCTATGTTCATTTGTGAAACATGCAAAGCATTACAAAAATAAATTTAAAAAAAACTACTCAAAATTAACTATACAGATTTTGATGCCGCGACAGACTTTAGGGTGCTTATAACTTCACTCCCTTTTCATGCAGAGACACCAAGTATCCAACAAGAACAACAACATTTTGTTTCACATTCACTTCTCTTGAAAATAATCTATAGTGGTGCTATAAATATTCTGTTCAACAAGGGATATATACTTGCACCTCAAGTCTCAAAAGTGATCACTTCTAAACCTGCTAGAACAGCTAAAGAAATAGACAAATCATGTGACTCAAAATATCCCTTAATGGAATGTGTATTGCAGGTTAACACTTTCCAATGATCTACAAATTCCATATAGAAAAAAGCCTCACAAATTTTCCAAATTATGTCTTCATACAGAAGCATTAAATCAGAGGCACGACCAAGGAGAGTACAGTGTAAGATGAGTAGACACCTACTTTGCCATATCTTTTTCAATTGTTTCTTTCAGAGACTCTTCCTCTTCCACTACAGAACCCCAATCTTTACATCTTGGCACTGGCTTGTGACTTTCTGGTGTGGTAAAACTGATAAAAAATACAAAGAAATTATAAGCCAGATTAAGAACAATGTAACAGTAAAGGAGTTTATGACATTTGGCCAGAACTAGTCAACCAACACAAAGCTGAAAAGTTTAGAGCAACTTTGCACTGCACTGGCCGAGTCAGCGGATTCGGTCACTGTATTTTATATGATTGTTTAGTGGAAGAGAGGATATTTCCACACAAGTGTATAGAGCTGCCTGTAAATCACTCTTACTATAAGCACTTTGTTACACACAATCCTCCGTAAAAGGAGGTAATTTTGGATTGGTATTCATAGATTTTGTATATCCTCGTGTGTACACAGCTATGTCACTTTTTGAACAATCACTCTTGCTATTTAAGCACTTTGTTACACATTCCTCCTTAAAAGAATGTAATTTTGGATTGGATTCTGCCAATGACCAGGAAAAATTGCCAAAATTGTTGCAAGGAGAGTGAGTGAATGCTGAGGCTGGCCCTTTGGATCTCAGTAGAAAGATTTTTGTAGCTTCCAGGAAGAAAAGACCAAGACAGAATGCAAATTTGTTAAGTGCAACAGTTTAGCCTGTATAAAATATTTTATCAATGGCCACCAGTAAACTTGACATGATTTCCAAATAAACCACAAAACATGACATGGTGCAAAAAAAAACAAAAAAACACAGACATTTCCAAAGTTAATTTACACCTCATTATGGCAATCTTTTGCAATTAAGCGTTTACCAGAGGAAGTAGTGTAACGACACATCGCCACATGTCTGTACAATGTTATCGCAATGATGCTCAAACAAGCTCATATTCACATTATGCTTTGGTTGAGCCAGGAAAAGCACATGTAAAGTGTTATTTTTAGCCATTGGTTGAGAAAAATCACGTGAAAGTTCTGCATTGAAAAAGGGACACTGTGCCATAAAAGGTTACAGCAACAGGTGCAGTCCTGTGCTTACTCTAACAAGGTCAGCATAATGAGAAAAATCTAGAACGCATTACGTACAGAGCTATCAAGAGATTTAAGGTTATATGAAGCACCTGAATATTGCCAACCAATGCAAGTAATGACAAATGTTATCTATCCCACTCCTAACACTATAGCGTTCGGAATACAAATCTGTATTCCCAATGCTATAGAGACCTAGTCACCCTGTTCCGCAGCAAATAAATGTTATTAACCATTTATTTGCTTACCTTAATCCAGCACCGGACCCCCTTGGCACTGGTGACCTCCTCCAGCGACATCTCCTGAGTGGAGCAGAATACACATTCTTAAGCCAGGTGCACACCCACGCATTCAAACCCGCCCATAAAAGAGCATTACTAAATGCTTTCCTATGGGGATCTTTTTTGATGCTGGACTCCGTCAAATAAGTGCTATTTGCTCTGTGTAAGTTGCGGAAGCAGCCCTTGTGGCTATCAGAGAGACAATCACTAGAGGCTGGATAAACTCGTTTTCCTGGCACTATAGTGCCCTGAGGGTGCCCCCACCCTCATGGTACCCCTCCCGCCGGGCTCTGGGGAGAAGAAATTGTTAAATCATACCTTTTTCCAGCGCCGGGCGGGGAGCTCTCGCCCTCGGCTGAATGCGCATGCGCGGCAGGAGCTGCGCACAGCCTGTCCCATAATGCTTTCCTATCGACGCTGCCATCTTCTCACTGTGATTTTCACAGTGAAAAGCACACAAATGCTTCTAACGGCTGTCAATGAGAGAGCCACTAGAGGCTGGATTAACCCATTTATAAACAGCAGTTTCTCTGAAACTGCTGTTTATATAAAAAAGTTAATCCTAGAGGGACCTGGCACCCAGACCACTTCATTAAGCTGAAGTGGTCTGGGTGCCTAGAGTGGTCCTTTAAGGATAAGTCAACAAGAACTGAACCGGGAATTCTACTAAACCATCTCATGTACATTACCTTTCATTTCGTCTATTTTGTATTTGCGGTTTGTCTTCATCAAACACAGTAGAATCTGTATCATCAAAACGCCTGAACTTCCCATTGCAATGGCGTTTCCTTCCCTGAGACCAGCGGGATGGGGGGTGCGACCTATATTGAAAAACATTTAACAAAATTATAAGCAATTCACTATATAGCTTAGATTAAAATAAAAATTAAATCAAGACAGTCAATTTAAAAATAAGGAGACTGCAAACAAAATAGGCATATAGTAAGAGCCAGCAAGGATGAGCTTAGAATTTGTATATAAAAATTTGAACCTTAAATTGCTCTGCATATGCATCTACTAAAACTAAATTCCTTTGTTTAGTAATTACTCTTTGAGGAGGGTAATATCTGGTGGAGATTCTTTTGTCATTGTAGGAAAGGAATAAGTTAATCTTTCCCACATAGATCAATTTTAACCTCAACACCATAAAAGATTGTGGAGCTAGACTGCAAGACACATAAGGCGATTACATGAAACGAAACTAAAAGCCATTTTCCTGCTAAAATTCAGACTTGAACTGACGCTGTATTAATCTATACAGACAATATTAGAAGACACGCCATGGGGTACAACAAGATACCCATTGGGTAAACATTATGTAATCCCAATAGTTTCATTATAAAAATGACATTGGCCAAATATAGTGACTGCAAACTACCAGGAGGCCTAGACAACAGATACAAAATGTTACAATAAAAACAATAGTAGTAGTAGTAGTAACCTGCATAAAACAAACATTTTATCCCATGCAGGGTAGGTCTGGGGGTGGGGTATCAGCCAGCCAAATGTGCCCTTATGGGGGCAGGGCATGTTTCCGGCCTTAGCAAGCACAAACACAGGGGGGAGGGGGCACATTATTGCCTTTGTAGGTGCTATAACAGGGTTTCCACATGGCCTTTACTCAGGTAGTAGCTGCCTGTTTTTACATATTAGAGTGCAGATCTACAGTGAAATAATTAGCTTGCTATAAAATACACAGCCAGTAACAGTGCAGGACTGCACACCACAAACCAGCAACAACAACCATGATGAACAAGGCGCCAACAATGCGAGTAACGCAGTACAAAACACATAATGTATGTACAATGAATAATCAGCCAGCCAGCATGATGTGCAGGCCCCATGACAGTGCTGGAGCCAGCCCAGCCCCCATACCATCAGGCAGGCCACACACACTATGAGGGCACTATAGGGTGATAAGATGTGATATTGTGCGGTATATTACCTGCTCTCGCGGTTATCAATGTTAGTCCATCCGTTACGAGACATGATTCCACCGAGTTCTACTTCCCGAGTGCGCAACTCCCGCCACGGACCTGCCCTTTATAGCCGCGCCTGGCGCCGGAATGTACCACCTCCAAAAAGGTAGGAGGCGCCTCACCTCATCTACTGGCTCTTTAACCCCACCTCACCACGTACGCACTCAGACGGCCACTTGGACATTAGCATAAATAAGGTTTTCATTGACATCTCTGCAATTGGCGTGAAAAAAAAAAAAGATTTTTGAGCATAGTCAATAAATGCAAAGTGCACGATAACACCCCCCTACTGCGAAATGGAGTTGAACAGAACCAGGAGCTGTATCTTGGTTGGTGCGCCGTCTTGAGATGCTGTGCGGTGATTGGTGGAACGCGCTGTCAGTCAGCATAGTGTGCAGCAGCTGTTCATGTATAGGGGGTGTCTGTTTTGAATAATATTTCCCCGCCAAACATCAAGTCACACATTTTGGCGCAAAAAATGTCCCAATAGTAAAAACATAGCCAGACATTACTCTTTAAACACGAGGAGCTACATCAAACTCTTAATATTTACTGTCCTCAGAATGATTATATATATATATAGACATATAATTTATTTATATTTATATATATATATATATATATACACATATATACATATTCATATACACTCTCTTTCCCTAAAAATAAAAGATGTAAAGATTCTGAATAAAGATATAAGATGCACTTAACTTATTATTTAATGTTTTATAGAACCCGGATAACAATATAAGATGCCTTTATTTAATGTTCTATAAAACCTGAACGAAGATACGACACCTTTTTTATTTAATGTTTTATAAAACCTGAATAAAGATATAAGATGCCTTTATTTAATGCTTTGTAAAAACTGAATAAAGATATAAGATGCCTTTAATGTTTTATAAAACCTGAATAAAGATATACGATGCCTTTAATGTTTTATAAAACCTGAATAAAGATAGATGTCTTTATTATTTACCAAATTAAAAATAAACCTGAATAAATATATTTTAAACATTGTTTTTTTAATTTAATACTAATAAACTTATATATGGGTTTGTGGATACGTTGATGACCAGAAATTTGGTATCGCTTCACAAAAGGCAAGTTTGAAGAGAGACTCCATTTTGTCCCTGCTAGGAAGCCGCATGGCTGTCCGTGTTTAACGTTCAGAAAACATAGCCACAAGCTTGCCAAAACACAGTATTTTTAAAAACACAAAAGGTTAAGAAAACAAACAGAATAAAAATGTTAAAGGACCACTATAGGCACCCAGACCACTTCAGCTTAATGAAGTTGTCTGGGTGCCTGGTCCAGCTAGGTTTAACCCTTTTTTTTATAGTAAGTTTAACCCCTTCCACTCTCCAGAGCCCGGCGGGAGGGGGTCCCTGAGGGTGGGGGCACCCTCATGGCACTATAGTGCCAGGAAAACGAGTATGTTTTCCTGGCACTATAGTGGTCCTTTAACGTAGTTATTACACATAGCTAGTAATACATAGCCAGACATTACTATTTAAACATGATGAGCTTTCGCAATTTTAATTTTTTTTAATCAAACTATGATTATCTAGATTATATACATACACACACACACTCTCTCTCTCTCTTTCACTCTCGCTCGCTCAAAATAAAAGGAGTAATGTAAAAAAATCTAAATAAAGATACAAGATGCCTTTTTATCAAATACTATTAAACTCCTATATGGGTTTGCAGATACATTAATAGGCGGAAATTTAGTATCACTTCACAAAAGGCAAGTTTGACGAGAGACTCCATTTTGTCTCTACTAGGAAGCCGCATGGCTTTGAGGTTTTTTTTTTTGTGTGTTCCAAAAACATAGATACAATCTTGACCAATAGAATTAAAATTTTAACATAGTTATTCAACTTAGTAATACATAGCCAAACATTATTTTTTAAATATGATGAGCTTTTGCAAGTTTAATTTTATATTTAATCAAACTGTTAATATTAATAATATTTACTGTCCTCAGAATGATATATATATATATATACACACATCTATCTGTCATTCTGTCTGTCAATATATCTGTCTGTCTGTCTAGCTATCTGTCTATCTATCCATATACAATCTCTCTTTCTCTAAAAATAAAAGGTGTAATGTAAGAATTCTGAGATATAAGATGCCATTATTATTTAATGTTTTATAAAACCTGAATAAATATATAAAATGCCCTTTTTATTTAATACTATTAAACTCCTATGTGGGTTTGTGTATACGTTGATGACCAGAAATTTTGTGTCGCTTCACAAAAGGCAAGTTTGACGAGACTCCATTTTGTCTCTGCTAGGAAGCCGCATGGCTGTCCATGTTTAGGGTTCAGAAAACAGATACAATCTTGCCAACACACAATATAAAAAAAAAAAAAGAGTAAGGTTAAGAAAACAAACAGAATTTAATTGTTAACATATTTATTCTACATGTAGGAATTGCATAGGGGGTTATTCACTAAAACCTGTGGTGACAACTATGGCTATGCTGTAGAATTTTTCCTTTAGGCCTATACTCTGCATTGCTTCTCAATACAAGCATTATTGAATAAGTTCTGTATTCTTACAATGAATTGTCACAAAGATATAGGAGAAATGCAATATTCAGCATAAAGCATTTATCTAAAAACAAAATGGCAGATGAAAAAGGCCTAAAAACATTGGTTTTCACCCGAGTGCTATTATATACAATTATATGTTTTCTGTTGTTTCCCATTTGAGCTCTTTTTTCCAGCTATTGGTTAATTAACTAAACTCTGAATTTTAGCAAATTAACACCAAAATTAGGCATGAATAACTGCTCTGAAAAACTCTCCATCTTAATTATAGTATAAAGACTGTAAGCTCGTTTGAGCAGGGTCCTCTTCAACCTATCGTTCCTGTAAGTTGTCTTGTAATAGTCCTATTTCTAGTTAAATCCTCCCTCTTATAATATTGTAAAGCGCTACGGAATCTTTTGTTGCTATATAAATGGCGATAATAATAATAGTATTTTTTCATTTTTTTGCTTCATTTTTATAATCCAGCCAATTTTAATAGGCTAGAATTTGGAGTTTAGTCACCAGTCTTATTTGTATTTTAGATTATATAAATAAATGGGATTTTTTTTATTCATCACCATTTGCTATTTAGTAAATACATCTTAGTGGGTTTATCCACTAAACCAAGAGGCTTATTCACTAAACTCAGAATTGTAGCAAAGTGAAAATCAGAATGGCTAAAATTGCCAAGCTGCATTTACAGTTGCCTTGGAGTATTTTTTATAGATCATCAATTTTTACCTAAATTTTGCCATTCAAATTTTAATTTGCACCAAGTGAGCTTGCAAATTGTAGTAAGCTAAAAACTTGAATTACTACATTACAGCTAAAGCCATTCATGCAGAAAAATAATCTCTGCTTTAGTTACTGTTCGCTAATTTAGCCAAAATTTTGCAATTCAGTTTTAAGTTCACTTCAGTTGGGTATTTAATGAGTCCACTCCTGGACTGTAGGAGCTATTTAGATGCAGGAAGTCTTACAATGATTAGTATTAGTTATAGATTTCTTGAGGGTAGTATGTGTTTTTATGTTTTAGTTTCACGCATATCTCCATATACCGGGTATAAAGCCCATATGCATACGGAGATATGCCCTGGAATAGTATACCTCCTAACACTGAGAGATATAAAGTCAGGATGGGTACGGGTGGACCTATGTGGATGCCAATGATGCATCTTATGTCACAGGAAATGCCCAAATCAGAATTCTCAACTTTTCCGATTTGGGGATCCTCTCCCACATCCCAGAAGCACGTCATTACATGTACTTGCGCGGAGAGCTGTGGCACTATGCAGATAGCACTTCAGCAGAGCTCTACATCGTCTGTCATCAAGGACGCTGTCACGCAGCCTGGCGTACACCCAGTCCTGAACACATACCTCCTAAAGTTGGGAGGTATTCCAAAGGCGCATATTAGACTGGTGTGAATATATATTTACTCGTAGGAGATTCCGCACTCTTCCTGTATAATATAGGTGCAAGCTTCCAAGAATACTCCACAATCACCTTTGCAAAGTAAAAAAGAATGATGGAGCCACAACACTAAATTAATCAAATTAAGATTTATTCCACCAAAAAGTGGACCCAGTAACGTTTCAACACATACAGTGTCTTTGTCAGCCTGACTGGCCACTGGGCTGGCCACCACGCAGGGCTGCATGTGTGCAGGGCCTTGTTAAAACACTCTGACCTAGAGCTGCACGCTCTACATGTAGTTTGCACAGTGTGAGCTTGTCTTTTAGTGTGCTCTCACTTTTGCTTATTCCCTGGTGACCCCAAGTGTAGAACACCACAAAATAAACTCGATATGGCAGGACACGACCCTGAAACTGGGACTGTCTCACCAAATCTAGGTATGTTGGAAGATATAGAATAGCCTAGCGCAGATGCAAGTACTTTATGGAGAGTTTTCACTAGTTTCCATACAGGCAGTAAAACCCCAGAAAAAACTACCGTAAGACAAATCAGGTATAGAACGGGGGGACGGTGGTAGGCAACATGGGCCAGTAGATAGATCAAAAGATCTCCTTGACCAGCCGTCCACTTCCTCACTACAATAAGTAATAAGTATGTGTTATAAATGGCTCTATAATGGCAATACCACACCATATGTGCAACACCACTGTAGCATCGCTATAATGTTCTAATTTTTTGTAGGTCGAAACTTTCAATTTAAAATTTTTAGAGTGAACTGTGAGCATGAGAGATCAATTGGTCTAGGCCTTGTGTTTGACTTTATGGAGATCTTAGGAGGGGGATGGGGTTTTACAAAAGTCTGTGTCCGTGCTGGGTCTGGTTGTATACACGCGTAAGGGATGGTTTGTGTGTATTTAAGAGACACAGACAGAGAGTTCAGCGGCACACAAAATCTGCAGCTCAAGGCTTTATTAACTGTAAACTGTATTATTTTCCCTAAACTGAACTAAGTATGTATGTGTGTGTGTGTGTGTGTGTGTGTGTGTATCTTAGCATAATAAAAAAATATATAATCGTCATAAATCGTCATTATCATGTCTCATTCACCCTGGATTTGTCTCAAATCCAAAAACCATTTGCATGACAATTAAACTGTACTGTAATAAACATT